TTCAATATTCCGCGGATATTCTCAATCGTCAAATTTGTGATCCAAGCTTCGTGGCCAGCTCCAAAATTCATGGCGAACACCTCCGTTACTCCAGGATTTGCAAGACGCGTTCTTCCAAAGTAGCTTCGCCAGTTTGATGTAGACTGCTCCCCACAAAAAATCGAGCACCTTCGATGCTCGTGATCGAAAGGTCGACGATCCTCCTCGCATATCTTGGGGACCCCATGCCCAACTGCACAAGGCTAGTTGAATTCTAACAAAATATGCATTGTACTTGCAAGTTCGACTCCATCATCCGTGTGCTCCCGGAGGCCCAGCGGCTAAGCGTTATTGCGAAACCTTCTTCTCGGATTACCAAGTTTTACATGTCCAGAAAAGAAAATGTGCTCAAAGTAAATCATCCCAGCCTGGGTACAACGTCGTGCTATATATATGCATGATACAAGGCCAGTAACCCCGGTGTTATGAGAAGGTTCCGAGGGTCGCGAAGGTTCCAAGGGTCGCAAAGCGTCCTAAATGGACCCTTCCCAAGTTCGTTAGAAGCTCTTCTATATGAACCAAATCGCATTGAATTTGGCGCACGCAACCTAGGTCAGTGCCTATAACTGTAATAATCTTAGTTAGGCAACGAAACTAGGAAATCAGGCAAAAACATGCAAGATAATGTAAAGCTAAGCTAGATAATGCATAATACAGCAGAATCAAGCAATAAAAGTCTGACAAAGTCGTCGTACTCTCACAATTGGACAACATAAACATCTATCAGGTATGCATGTTCCCACACTTACATACAGGCCACCGTTGGCAGGCAGTAACATCTTCCTGGCTGCGGCCACGTTTGTTGCAAACGGTTCGAGATCCGGTAAGAAGGTGCTGTAGTCCGGTGTGATCCCCATGTTGTGTGCCTCGCCAACCGCAAATTACACAGTTTGTCTGTTAGCAGAAATGATAGGTGGTTGCTCCCCATGAACCGTTACACCTAGGGGTGGATGCATGTTCGTGGTCATCATCGGAAGATGATGAAAGGGATGGTGATCGTGAACGATGATTTAGGGCGACTTGATTTTGCAATGTCAAGTTCTCACGTTGGAGCCCTCGCACCTCCGCCATCATGGCTTCAAACTCCGCCCTTCCGACAACGGTATCCTGTGGATGGTGCTGGTCCCAATTTTTTGACAAAGTAGTAACTGAAGAATGAATGACTAGAATGAGCAAGTAGAAATAGCAAACCTAACCCTCGCACTAACCAAGGTGTACACCACCTAGACTAAACAATACAAACAATTATAGTTTGACACACACCCATAGTCTAGGTGACGGTAGTCAAGTAGAGAGCAACGAACAACCCAAGAGCAAGGGTCACAGGATTAGTCAGCAAGAACAAGCAACGGTCACAAGACCAATGCAAAAGAACAAAGCAACGCTCGGGGTGGATCTCAAGATCACCACACAGTCCGAGAACAAGTAAAGGGCCACAAGGCCAGTCCACATGCAAGTATATAGCATATATAAGAGATGCAAGAGTACAAAACATACAAGACAAACATCTCTACAGAGGCGAGGGGTCACAAGGCCTGTCCACAAGCACAGAGATAGAATATATAGTAAGATGAAAGAGCACAATATAAAGCATCTCTACGCAAGCAAGTGAGGGCCTGTAGACACAAGGCCAAGCTGGGTGCAGAAACGCTGGTGGTCACAAGGCGACAACGCCTTGGTGTCCAACGCTGTTGGACAACGGGTCGTGAAACACAGTGAAGGACAACTCATGAGGCTGTGGAAGGACATGTGGAGATGGAACACGAGAGCGAAGAACAAAGTGAAACGGGCCGTCAGCACGGTAACGGGACGACGAGGCTCTAGGGACATAGCACGGCTGACAGGAGAACGCCGAGACCACTGGGACGAGGAAAGGGACTCGACAGGGGGAACAGGAAGGGACGGTAGGGGACCACGAACAAAGCGTACAGGTGCTGAGTCGGGCAGGTCTCTCAGTCGCTGCTGCTCCGCCTCCTCTGGCGACTGTTGCTGCGGTACCTACCCCCGCTGCTGCTCCTGTGGCTCCTCCTCCGCTCTCTCCTGCTGTGGCTGCAACAGCAACTGCTGCTGCGGCCGAGAATCTTACTCTACCCTCCGCTGCTGCGGCCGCAACTGCACCTCCTACTGCGAGCGAGACTCCTGCTCTACTCTCTTCTGCTGTGGATGCAAGTGCACCTGCTGCGGCAATCGTGACTCATCCTCTACTCTCTCCTGACGCTTCGACTAAGACTGCTGCTGCTGCTGCCGTGACTCTTCCTCTACTCTCTCCTGGTGCGGCTGTGACTCCTCCTTGACTCTCTTCTGACGCTTTAACTGGGACTGCTGCTGCTACTGCTGCTGTCGTGACTCCTCCACTACTCTCTCCTGATGCTCTGACTGAGACTGCTGTTGCTGCTTCTGCTGCTGCTGCTGCTCCTGCTGCTGCTGCCGTGACTCCTCCTCTGCTCTCTCTTGACTCTCCGACTGAGACTGCTGCTGCTGCTGCTGATGCTATGCCCTCTCAAACCGATCCCGCTCCTCTCTCTCCAAACGAACAAGACGCTGCTCACGTGTCAGGAAACAGACAGTGCGCGGTGTAGGCGCCGAGGTGACAGCGCCTCCAGCCCGAGCACCCCCAGAACGAGAACCTCCACCAACAACACCCCCAGGGCCTCCAGTACCTCCGGCAGGAACACCCCCAGACTGCGCAGCGACCGGCCGCGGAGGCGAACGGGGAGGGAACCGCGGGACTGACGGAAAGCAAGGGGGTGAGGCGGGGCGAGGCTGCCGACTCGAGGCGGTAGTGTCCTCCACTGGAGGGGGCTCCAAACCCACACCCCTGCACCCCTAGAGCCGGAGCCACCAGCTCCAGCAGCCCCAGTACCCTCGCCCCCCACAGCTGCACCTCCCGCACCCCCAGACACGACAGAGACTAGACGCTGCGGGGGAGACGACTGCGGAGTGACGTGCGTCACACTTGACGGGGCAGGACGCGAAGGGGGGGAAGCTACCGGGGCGACTGGGGAGGGGTCAGTGGTGAGGAAGAGCGGGGGGAAAAGGTCTCAGAACCTCGGTGGGGGCGACTCCTGTAGTAATTAACCGACTCGTCGAAAGTGGCGTCCTAGGAACTGAAGAACTGGCAGGTAACCGGGTTGTAAAACTGCCAGCCGGTGGTGTCGATTGGGAAGCCAAGAAAGACGCCGGAACGGGTGCGCGAAGACAACTTGTTCGCGCCAGGGGCGCGAACGTGGGCCAGGGAACCCCAGACGCGGTAGTTAGCTGCTACACCTGGAGAACCCGTCTGGCGTCACATGTGGCCGTGCGTCACTAGGCCACGGGTTCAGCTGGTGCGCGGCGTAGCGGACTGCCTGAGGCCATAGGAACTGGGAGGCACCGGCATGGCACATGGAGGTCGGGCAACCTCCATGACCAGGTCGATGCGTCGCTCGGCTACCCCGTTCTGCTGCGGCGAGTCTGGTAGCGTGTAAGACGGAACGTCTCCAAGCGAGTGGAAGAAAACCCACCACCATGGTCTGAGTGCAGGCGGGGACCACAAAGGGCCTGGGCGTCACCCCTCGCTAGTAGCCACAGCTCAAGGACAGTAGGCACTTCGGCCTTCCGTCGCAAAGGTAAAACCGTGGTGTAGCGGGAGTAGTTGTCCACCACAATTAGGAAGTAGCTCTCCTGACGTGGGCCACGGACCGGGGAAGGGCCCCAGACGTCCAAGTGCAGTATCTGGAAGGGAGTCGTGGTGGGGGGGAACGACGAGGAGTGAGGGGCAGCGCGGTGCCGACCCTCGACGCAAGGAGTGCACGGCGGCGCAGGCGAGCGAGGAAGCGGGGCAAGCGACTCTGGGAGACCTAAGACAAGATGGTGACATACCATCCTACTGAAACGTGGGAACGACGGGTGACCTAGACGGTGGTGCCAAAGGACCAACGGGTGCGTGAGTGACTGACAGTCGCAAGACACAGCAGTTACCTGACCTGACCTGACCTGACCTGGCCCAGTATGGTGGGACCTAGTGTGTAGTGAGTACAGACCAGAGCCCGACTCCCTGCGGAAAGTGGCCAGAGGCACTCCAGTGGCACCGACTGTGCAGTAGGCAACTGGCTCGTCCAGAGGGAAATTAGTGACAACTCCGAGGTCGTGGAGGTGACTAGCACCCACCAAGTTCCTATAGAACGAGAGGGTGTAGTAACCTGTGAGAAACCCAGAGGGAGCTGTCAAACGTGGGAGAATGGTGGTGCTGTGGGCTGTTGAGATAAGACTTAGGAGAGCCATGGCGGCCGATTAGGTGAGAAGAAAAAGTTCGAGAGACATTTGAAAGCTAGGGTTGGGAAACCCCAACTGAACCTAAGGCGTGTTCAATGCAGAGACAAACTGCAAAGTGAACCTAAGATGAACCAGAAATGAAACAAAGTCTAAAAGTGGCCGAAAAAATGATATAAGGCCAAAATGAAATGCAGAGCGAACACTAGCCTACTCCAGCATGGGCAGCTACAGCTCCCACGGAGGGGTCAGCCAAGGCAACAGTGACAGGAGAGTGCAGTGGCGTGAGGTTAGTACAGTCGCGAAAGAAAAAGGTGGACGCTCCAAAGTCTAGGGTGAAGGAAAGCTGTGCAGTCGGTGAGGTCGCACCCAAGTCAGCCATAAAGGCTGGGACTAGACTAGTGGTAGCTGCAGCTCCCACACTAAGAACCTCTGAGGCGCCTGCACTGGAAACTACACAAGCACCAAGATTGGAGTGTTGGTGTAGGCTAGAGCTCACTCTGGCATTTATCATGGTGTTCCTTTGTTATTTCGCCATGTTTAGAGCGAGTTACACTTCTGGTTTAGTTTAGGTTCATTTCTTAGTTTCTTGCACAAACTGAACACACCCTAAGTTCAATTAGGGTTTCCTACTTTTGTCTCTCGACACTTTTTCCTAATAAATCGATTCAACCTATCTTGCTAGCCATGGTTACCACTCTCACATTAACATGGTAGCCTAATCCTTGGCGTTTTCTGCTTATCTACATCACTTAGGACGCTTTAGACCTTAGGCATCCGGGGCGTCACTTCACACTTAGCGTAGGTTTTTGTTTCCTACCATCTCGACCTTCGATTTTCTTTTTCTTTCCCTTATTTTCAACTCACGGACCCCCTTATCCATCCCCCGCAGCCTCCCCACCCCGTCGCGCGCCTCGTCGCCTAGTCGCACGCCATTTCCTCTCGTCGCGCGCGCCCTGGCCTGCCTCCTCGTGCGCCCTGCCCTCCCGTCGTGCGTCCTGACCTCCCGTCGCGCGCAAGCACCCTGCCTCTGCCGTCGCCCACGCGCCCTGTCCACCAACGTCGCGCGCGCGCGGGCCTTGTCCGCCGCCGTCATGCGCGCACGGTCTGCCCGCCGCCGTCACTCTCCTCGCCGCCCATTCTATCCTTTCCACGGCCGCCCTCCCTTCCCCCCCTTTTCGCGGGCATCTTCCTCTCCCTTCATGGTGCGCCGAACCCCTCTTCCCCCCCCCCCCCTTCTCCTGCCTCCTTCGCACCACCTCCTCCCTCTCCGCTCATCACATCCGCCTCCTACACTCCTCCCCCTCTCTTCTCTCCTCCCTACCCTTCACCCTCTTCCTCTCCTCTCCCCCTTCATTCCCCTCCCCATCTCACTCTCTCCTCCGCCTCTCTCCTCTCGTCTACTACTGCAGCCGGTTGCCGGCTTTGCTTCGTAATCTTGCTCATCAAGACCTACCCCTCCTCACCATCCGCCCCTTCACCCTCCTCCTCCTCTCTTCTCTCCCTTCATTCCCCTCCCCATCTCATTCTCTCCTCCGCCTCTCTCTCCTCTCTTCTACAGCTGCGGCTGGTTGCCGGCCTTGCTTTGTAGCCATGCTCCTTCCCCACTGTGTTCCTCCTCCTCTATTTTCTCCCCTCAGCGGTGCAGCAGCAGACTACTCCGCCGTTATCCCTCCTCCTCTATTTTCTCCCCTCAGCGGCGCAGCAGCAGACTACTCCGCAGTTATCCCTCCTCCTCTTATTTCTCCCCCCAGCGGCACAGCAGCAGACTACTCCACCATTATCCCTCCTCTTATTTCTCCCCGCAGCGGTGCAGCAGCAGACTACTCCGCCATTATCCCTCCTCTTATTTCTCCCCTCAGCGGCTCAGCAGCAGACTACTCCGCCGTTATCCCTCCTCCTCTTATGTCTCCCCTCAACGGCTCAGCAGCTGACTACCTCGTCACAATTCCTCCTCCTCTTATTTCTCCCCTCAACGGTTCAGCAGCTGACTACCTCGTCCCTATTCCTCCTCCTCTTATTGCTCCCCTCAACGGCTCAGCAGCTGACTCTCTCGCCCCTATTCCTCCTCCTCTTCTATCTCCCCACATCTGCTCCATTGCTATCCCCTTCCCCAGATGGGGCCTTTTCTCGCTCTTACCTCTCCCCATCTGCGCTTCCGCACTCACCCGTCTCCTGCCGTACCTCCTCTCCTACCCTTGCCTTCCCTACTCTCCGCTCTTTTCGCTACCCCTTCCTCCCCTTGCACCTCTCCTACTTGTCGCTGGACCTCCCCTTGTCTCCGCCCCTCTGCTTGGATTCCCCTGTCCCATCAACATCGCCGCTCTTGTGCCATTGTCAGCTCTGGTATTGGTTCTCTAGCCTCTGTCTTCAGTGTGACCATGCCATCTCAGGATAGCATCCTTGGTGCTTCTCCTCTTATAGACCCTCGTTTTGTCATTCCACTTTCTCCATCCGTTCAAAACACTGTCTCTCACTCTTTCAGCCCTACAGCTGCCACTCTCTCACTTCCTCGCACCTTGGATTTTGTCCTTGACACTGCTGCTACTGACTCTGTCTTTCGTGATGCTGGTGTCCTTCGCAATTTTCCTCGTCCCCTCTCTATTGATGGGGCTAGGGAGACCATGACCATGATATGCACTGGCACTTCCTCTCTTCCCTGTCCTGCCTCTCCCTCTGGCGCTATCACTGGCCTTTATGTTCCCTCTTGCCATCATAACCTCCTCTCCATCACTGCCCTCCAACGCTTGGGTGTGCGAGCACTCTTCCCCGCAGGTGAACTCTATTGTGATCTTCATTACCGCGACCGGCACCTTGCTCGCTTCACCCTTTCTCCTATTACTCGCCTCTACACCCTTCGTGTTCCCCTCCCCTCATCTGTCCATCACACTTCTACTTCTGCCCCTTCCGTCTCCTCTTGCGATTGTCGCTCTCTCACCCAACCTACCCTTCTTCTTCATCATCGTCTTGGCCACCTCAACTTCCCTCTCCTTCGCAGCATGGTCACTTCGAAGCTGCTTCATGATCTCCCTCCCTCTCTCCCGCCCCTTCCCCCCTCTCCCGCTCCTCCATGCACCCCTTGTGTTCAAGCCAAGCTCTCTCAATCTCCTCATCCTTCTTCCCCTTATGCCTCCCCCAAACCCCTTGATCTTGTGCATATGGACCTCTGGGGTCCCTCTTCCATTGATGATGACCACTCTCGCTTTGCCACTGTTTATCCCCTTCGTGCCAAATCCGACGCCCCCTCCCTCATCATTCGCTGGGCTGAGTAGGCACGCCTTCGCTCTGGCCGTCCTGTCGCACGCTTCCACTCTGATGGTAGTGGCAATTTCTTTAACCACTCTCTCCTTTCTTACTGCTCCTCTCATGGCATTCGCCAAACCTCCACCGTTCCACATTCTCCTGGACAGAATGGTGTTGCCGAGCGTCGTATTCGCACTCTCATGGAGATCACCCGCTGTCTCTTTACTCATGCTTCTGCTCCACATTCTCTTTGGAGCAACGCTCTTGCTCATGCCACTCTTCTTTCCAACATTCGCCCCCATCCCCTTCGCCCTTCCATTACTCCCTTCCAGCTCTGGACTGGCTGCCAGCCCTCTGCCCGCCCTCTTCGGGTGTGGGGCTGTGTCGCTCATGTCATTACCAATCCCGCCGATCTAGCACGTCAGGGTGGGAAGCTCGCTCCCAAGACGCAGCTCTGCGCGTTCATTGGCATCAACGCTGACTGTTCTGGCTATCTTTTCTATGCTCCCTCCTCTCAACAGCTCATTCGCAGCCAGGATGTTATCTTTGATGAGACTCGTTCTCCATTCCTCAACCCCCCCTTCCACCCCTCCTCCTCCCTCTCTTCATTGGTCTGACTTTGATCTGCTGCCCTCTGCTGCTCCCTCTCCTTCTCCACTTCCTCCTCCCCCTGCTCTCCCTCCCCTCCCTGCACCCTCCCCCCTCCTGTCCTCTCCAGCGCCTCTCTTCCTCTTCTGCTCCCACGCCCTCTCCTTCACCACCTCTTTCTGCTACTCTTCCTTCTGCTCTGTTATAGTCACAGTAGGCTCCAATGTGCCTAAAACGAAAGATAGAGTGCACAGTCGGATTTCTGCACAGCGGCTTCAAACGTTCATAGCGTTGTGGTCACAGCTTCAAATTACTTGATTCAACTTGGATCTAGAGCGTCTTATTGTCGCCTACAATAGGCAATTTGGATCGCACGATTTCACCAAGTATTGACGACACAGCGTCAGTTTGAACGAACGGCACTATGGCAGCCACTATAGTCTTAGAACACAAGATATTATAATTTGTAAAAGTGTAACACTTTTTCAAATTTTGTATTGTGAAAGCGAGGACGTGGCCAGCAAAGCAAAGGTAGCGGCTCGACGCTACTCACCCCTCTTTTGCCTACAAAAGAGGAACGTGATTCCAGTAGCGCCACCCACGTTCTTCATTTCCAATTTCTAGTTTTACTCTCTAGTTCTCGTTCATCCTGGCGAAGACGCAATCTCTCCCGCGGTTCAAGTCCCCGTCGACCCTTCTTACCGACATTCTCCAACACAACCTGGCGAACATGGCTCCCGCCAACACTACCCCGAATAACGCTGCGGACAACGCGAACGCGCCCGGGACACCCGACCGCCGCGGAAAACGCCCTGCTGAAGATAATTTCGGCGAGGGCACTTCAGGCGTCGAAGTGCTGCTCGGAAGCAACTCCCGAGCCCCCTCTGAAGAAGCACGCGCGACTGTGAAACAGTCGCGCGTGCCTCCTGCTGACGAGCGTGTGGCTGCCAGGCAGCCGCGCGTTCCGGTCAAGTCAACGCCGGCTGACGCGGACGGCGACGCTGGTCAACCAGGGCCCACTCTGCAGAAGCGACAGAAGGCAGCGACCCCAGCAGAAGCCGCCCCACTCAACCCCCTCGCGTCCCTCACTGCGCAGCAGATGCAGGCACTGCTCTCGATGTTACAGCAGCACGCCCCAGTTACAATCGCAACTTCTTCCGACTATATCTCAGCACCTGCAAAAATCGAAAATCAGAAAGAAGTCACCGCTCCCCGCGCAAACAAGGCTGCTCGCGTCAACGATACAACTGCCGCACCTCTCCCCGCTCCCGTACCGGCACCGATCGCCGCTCAAGAGGACAGCAACGACTCAGAGAACGACGATGGTGAGGCCCCCATTAACATTACCCGTCGTCGTATTATCGCACCTGCACCTTCTCTTCCACCCCTCAACCCCACACCCGCACCCACTACCTTCATGCGCAAAGGCGTGCGCGATCAGGCGGAGGTTTTCTCTGCTATCCAGGCACACCTGAAGCACGTCAATTTCAAGCTCCAGCACGGCGACGTCGAAAGCGCCCTCGCCAACGTCGCGGAAATCGAATCGCTCATCCACAAGCGCTTCGAAGTCCTTTTGGTAGCGGACGAGGCGGGGTTTGAGGCTGCCGATCGCTTTCAGCTATACCAGTCCAAGAGCGTGTTAACCTCACGCTCATACAAGCTTGCAATTGCGGATGTGGCGGCTCTCAAGCGTGCACGCGCCGGCTACACTCGTGGTAATCGCATGCCTACCCGAGAGGGCGAAACGGAAGGCAAGGGTGTGCCACCCGCAAGCTGCCACGAACCCCGCTTCAAAGGGGTGTGCTTCCGCTGCGACCAGCCCGGCCATATGGCCAACGCTTGCCCTATGGGAGGGCGAGGCGCTCAAGGCCCCTCACCCGTCGTGTGAGGAGGCACACGGGGCGGCGCCCCTTGCCACTATGCCGGGGGGCGTAGGTGGGAGCACCGAGGGTGCGTGGCTGGTAGTTAGCATGGGGTATGGGCTGAAGGCCTTAGAAATCCCTAGCCATAAGGGCGGATATGGGGGTAGGACATGCTATGTACCCATGTGTGGAGTAAAGTAATGAATTTCTCTTGTTTTAATTCAAAAAAAAAAAAAAAAAAAAGAGTAAGAAAGAGGTTTAGTGGAACCAAGGCAGCCACCTTGCAGCACGAGCAGCCCCCTGACTAGAAGGGAAGAGTAAGGAGGAAAGAGGCAAAAACTGAGATAGGAAAGAACACGTGAGAATAAGGGGCAGAGATTGAGAAGAAGAGCAAACGGGAGAAAGTGGAAGAGAGAGGGAGAAAGAGCGAGAGAAAGAGGAGAGGGAGAGCGAGGGAGGGAGAGAGAGAGGTAGAGAGAAAGAGAGAGAGAGAGAGAGAGAGAGAGAGAGAGAGAGAGAGAGAGAGAGAGAGAGAGAGAGAGAGAGAGAGAGAGAGAGAGATAGAGAGAGAGGGAGGGAGAGAGAGAGAGAGAGAGAGAGGGGGGGGGGAGAGAGAGAGAAAGAGAGAGAGAGAGAGAGAGAGAGAGAGAGAGAGAGAGAGAGAGAGAGAGAGAGAGAGAGAGAGAGAGAGAGAGAGAGAGAGAGAGAGAAAGAGAGAGAGAGAGAGAGAGAGAGAGAGAAAGAGAGAGAAAGAGAGAGAGAGAGAGAGAGAGAGAGAGAGAGAGAGAGAGAGAGAAGAGAGAGAAGAGAGAGAGAGAGAGAGAGAGAGAGAGAGAGAGAGAGAGAGAGAGAGAGAGAGAGAGAGAGAGAGAGAGAGAGAGAGAGAAAGATGGGAGAA